CATCCCCCGACCGCCCACCCGCAGCCCCCTTCCTGGGCATGTGGCTCCCCCCAGGGTATCAGTCCCCTCTGCTCCTGTCCTTACATCTCTCTGTCATGTGCCTCTTCCAGTTCCAAGGTCTCTGTGCTCACACAGGACCCCCCTGGGTGAACCAGGGGATCTCTGGTCTCAAGATCCTTGGCTTAATCACTTGGGCACATGTATACACCATGTGGGGTGACATGGTCTCAGGTTCCAGGGACTAGAACATGGACAAAAGAGAGGAGCTTCTGCCCCCAGACACATGCAAACACCACTTCAGGGCACAAGGCAGGGACCTTCTCACTGAAGTCCACGGAACGTTATGAGAACCAAAGAGCCATGATCAGCAGCGCTGCTCAGAAGATGTGACGTCTGAGCTCTGTCTTGTGGAGCGGGGAGGGCGGAACGGTGCGAGGCCCTCAGCACACTGAGCGTGGCTGGAGATGTCGCTGTGTGTCCAGAGAGGTGGGAGAGAACAGGCGGGCCGACCCTGAGGGAGGGCCATGCCAAAAGCTTAGCCTCTGTCCTGCGGGGCGATGGCTCCAAATCTTTTTTGAATCTCATGTTCCTGTTCGTTAAACTGTATTCACCCTGCACCTCTAAATAAGTAGATTAATGTTTACAAATTGTACCATACACATACAATTTACATTCACCCCTGAAGTATATTAACGTTTATAAGTTGTATACATGTCACCATGTTACCTTGTGTGTATTATGAGATGCATAAGCAGTAGAAGTTTAGTAACAACCCCCCTGAGATTTGACTGGATGCACGGCCACCAGCTAGAGACCACATCTGCCAGGCTCCCTTGCAGTCAGGTATGGTCATGGGCCTACATCTGGGCCGATGGGACGTGCATGCTAGTGCCGTGGGCACCTCCTGGCTCATCTCTAAGCACAAAACACTTGCCTGGAATCTGTCTATTCGTGCACCAGGGAGCGTGGGCAGGAAGGTGAGCCAGCTGGCACCATACAGGCAAGACAGTGCCCTACTCCACAAGACCGAGCTCAGGACGACAGCACAAGCCACGCTCCTCGGGCTGTGGCAGCAGAGAGCTGAGCTGTCTCAGTCACCGCTTATTTCATCTCCTGTTGCAGCAGCTTTGGTTGGGCCTGATAAATGTGTTCAAGTTCTGTAGTTTTGTTAAAGTCCTTCGACATGAGATAGACGGGTTCTGCATGGGCGAAAATGTTTTCATGGCCACTCCCTGTCTCCTTATAGAATTATAAGATCTTGTTATAATTATGTAAGTATAAGAATTACAAGGATTATAAAGCAATATTTAAGTCAGGCTGCTCTGTAGGCTGCTTCAGGAGCTGCAGTTGAGCAGCTGGACTGAGATAGGACACAGTGGGGTGCTGAGGCCACGTGCCTGCACCCCATGTGGGCAATGCCTGCAGCTGGAAGCCTGGCTGGTAGAGGTGCCATTGTAACCTATATGACAGTGTTAGCAGAACTGAATTTCTCTTCTAGAGACACTTTGCCCAGTCCTGGGTGCCTGGTGCCATGAGCTCAGGAGCCCAGTGGACATTGTTTGCTTTGGAAAACGACCAGCTGCCGGCTGGGTATCTGGGTGGGCTGCTGTTAACTGTCCGGGAGACAGACCGCAGTGTGATGATGGCTCGTGCTGTAGTCCCGAAGGTGGCCTTGGCCTGGCAGCTCTAATGTGGAGCGCCGTGGCTGGCCGTGATGTCTCTCGCCTTGGTCGCAGGACGACGGGCGCTGGCTGACGGGGGCTGGGACTGGCTGGGACGAGCCCTGCGACCCTGAGCGTCTGCAGTGCAGGATCTGTGAAGGAGAAATGGCATCACACAGTTGATCGTCTTGTCTACGTGGCTGAGCCCGGGGCTGGGCTGGGGGCACAGAGCCCAGTA